TACTAAGACACAAGCCGCCTTCACCCTCACAATACCCTTGAGTCATAGCTAGGACTCACCCTCTGGGTGCTAAACTGAACTCCCGGACTTTTAGTTGTGGAGAACTCATGCGAAGAGCTGACACAGCACAGAATAATACTCTGCAGAGATCTGGCAATTCCCAGACCCTATTCTGTGCACTATTTCGATCCTCACATTGATGGAGTATGTGAGGTAGCTGGTACTTTAATCTTGAAATTAGGAGTCCAAGGGCTTGACTCCAGCCCGGTGATTTTCTTCTTCCTTCAATTTTTGTTCCCTACTTCCCTGACACAGGGCTGGGAAGAAAATGCAGGATCTGCCTGGTGGGAATTTAACTGTGTGAGAGGCCAACCCGGGGACAGGCACACACAGGATGCCACTACCAGTAACATGTGATATTTATATCGTTACAAAATGCTGGCTTTGTTCAAGAAAGTAACATTTATAGAAGTAATTGTTAGTGTGAGCCTTATAGATGCCAAATGAGGGAACGACATTTGAAAACATAGTATGTCAGAAGCAGGGAAGGAACGCCACCTAAGGCTTCAGGCCAGGGTCAGACAGCTCTTCCTGCTTCATAGAATGACAATGCTGGACAAAGGCATTCACATCTGCTTGTCCCACCTCTGTAGCCCCAAGGGCCATACTTCACTGGATAATTCTACAGGTGTTGGATGAGATAAAGTATACAAGATACTAGTCTAATTCTCAGAACTGAACACATTCCCAATAGCTTCGTGCCTTAGTAAATTTCATTCTAAGTAGAACAATGTAGCTGGTGACTGTCTAAGCAACAGCAAGCACAGGAAGGAGGTGACCAACACTGACAGTTTTAAAGGCTTATCAGGAGACAGACTTCATGGATGTAATCTTTAAAGAGAACGAACCCCCCCCCCCTCCTCTGCACAGTCCTTACACGCTGATTCAAATGGCTCCTAATGGTACTTTCTTCCTTACTGATGTGTTCAAAAGTTACGGGCTTTTGAATTCTTCTGTTTCTCATAAGTGTACTTAGTGACTCTAGCTCTATCACATGAGCACAAAACAGATGCAGTCATCACTCTTACCTTTTTAATGCTTACGAAGCGAATGAGATCAAAGGCAAAATTCCATTTATGAGAAGCTCTGGCCCAGACTATGAAGGTGACAGATGTTCCACTGCTTAGAACCTTCTTGTTCTACCCCGAAAAAAAAAATCTATATTTTCCTTTAGTATATTGATTTCTTGTTGCAGAGCAAGAATGGCCATTAAATATTTTTGTTTGGTAGCTTGGGGTTACCAGTTGTGAAAGCAAAAATGTATCAGTATATAAACTGGGGTTGGTGGGGTGGTGAAAAGGGACCAAGAAGATGTAATCTGTATCAGGAATGATTTACAACTGACTGAAGGACCCAGTGTCTCACCAGAGGAGGAAGAGGGAGCAAATGAGAAAAGCATCCAATCCTGGGGAAACCCTTTGATGGATGAGCAACATTCTCTAACAGATGAGAAAGCACTTTCCCTAGTAGCCAGCTGGCTCCTCTCCTCTTTCTTTTTGGCTTGTAATGCAGTGGAAATATTCAGTATAAGGGTTTATGGAATATACGAACCAGCTGACGCACTAATAATAAATTGAAGTGTTTTTCTTGTTGTTGTTGTGGCTTTGTTTGGATGAGGCTCCTTGATTTCTCTTTAGGGATGGGTTTGGATCTTCTTTATCAAAATTGAGTGGACTGGTGAGGATGAATATTCTAAACACCATTTCTCCTCACCAATGCAAATACTATTTGTATAATGTATTTTTGCTTTCAAAGTGTGCTCACTCACATTGTCTTGTTTCATCTTGTAAATAATCCAGGGATATAGGTGTCATGATTCTCACTTTATACTTGAGAAAACTGAGCCTCCTAAAAGTTCATTTATAGCAACATCCAAATGTTTTATTTTGCTGTCTTTGATGGCACTTCCAACCAATGTCAACCTGCGGCCACAATTCTCCTTGTGGGGCTTGACAAAATAATGCCAATGAGAGTTACTAGTTCAGATGCATGTTTGCCTGTCTTTGACTCCTGGTATACCACTTGTTGCCTATGGTGTCCTTCCTTGAGATTTCCATCTTTAAAATGGGGTAATAATACATTAAACATAATGACCATTTAAAATTTTGCAGATAGAAGGGCTGGGGAAATGGCTCAGTTGGCACAGTGCTTGCTCAAGCATGAGAACCTGTCTGTCTTCAGACCCCCAGCACCCATGTAAAAGACAGCAATGGAGGCACCGTCTGTAAACACCATCTCTGTTAGTTCCTACTTTATAACCGGAAGACTTAGATCCAGAGAAGTTAAAAGTACACTCAAGTCATCCAGTTGGGAAAAGATGAGAAGTTTTCTTGGTTGCGCTAAAATACAGAATTATATTCACTTTGGGAGGTTGTTAGAATTAAAGGAATGCAGAAAAGACACTAATACAACCCCCGGAACGCCATAAAGGAATATCAGTGTAGTAATAATAACAATTAGCTGTAATCAGCGCCCAACTTCACCATCTTTCCACACAAATCTGACCTCCCTCTAGCTTCAACCTAACCCCTTGCCCCCACATGCATTTTTGAAAAGCACTCTCTTCAAGTAGAAATCCCGAAATCAGGGCTGAGAGGTTAAGAGCACTTGTTCTTGCAAAAGGACCCAGGTTCAGTTCCCAGCATCCACATGGTGGCTCATAACCATCCATAATTCGAGGTCCAGGGGATCTGTTGCCCCCTTCTGAACAGTATGGGCACCAGGCACACAGGTGGGACAAAACACACATGCAAACCAAACACACAAGACACATAAAAGAAGTCAGACTATTTATTTTTTTAAAACAGAAATCAGTTCCCTCATATTAGCTATGTCAGCTTAGGCAAGAGGCTCACCCTCTCCTTAGCCACAGTCTCTCCATCATGAAACAGAAACCAGAAATTTCCATTCGATGAGCTCACATCATTATTATGAGCACACAGTGTAGAAATGTGAAGAATACAATTATCTTGATTGTATTGAATGCGGTAGGAAAACCTGCCCGCTAAGGGTAGCACCGTCTGGGCAGCAGCGTGCATTCATCATTCCCTTCCTCCTCCTCCTTCTGTCTTCTTCCGTTTTTAGAGACAGGGTTTCTCTGTGCAGTCCTGGCTTTCCTGGAGCTCACTCTGTAGACCACGCTGGCCTAGAACTCAGAGATCCACTTGCCTCTGCCTCCTGAGTGCTGGATTAAAGGTGTGTGCCACCACGGCCTGGTAATGCTCCCGCCACACACACCTGCTCTTACCTAAGGATGCAGTGTGCCCAGGAGCCTCAAATTCCTGCTGATGTAACTTTCTCGTCCTGGTAGACTGCAGCCTGGAACTGGGAGCTAGTACAAACCCTGTTCCCCTGAGTTGCTTTTGTCTGTTTTATCCCAGCAGCAGGAACAGACACCAAGACAGCACTTTATTTCTAAACCCGTGTTGGAACTGTAAGGAGATTTTGCTTTGGATGCCGCATGTTTGCTAATCTGTGCTAAAACAGAGGTGGTTCCTCTAGGGTGTAGTATGCCAGTCCACCAATGTTCCAATTAGCTTCTCTGTATTCAGCCTTCATGGTTTTTTCCCCCTCATGTGACACGGTACCTTCAAGAGTTTCTTTTTAAAAAACCTACTCGTATTAAAAAGAAAGCCTAAGACCTTTATCTCCACCAATCACGAATTTTATTTTATTACATGAGGATGAATCTATACGACCCGACTTTGTTATACACCGTGCTGAGGCTGTGGCAGAGTCAAAAATGGGGTGCTCGGTGAATCTGTCAGTTCTGTGGTAGAAAGAACACCTACTTTGCCTCAACGTCGTGAAAGAGTTAAACAATTTTTCAAAGAAACCTAGCAGACCTGAAAATGTCCACTTATACAACACACGCCTCACTTTGAAGGTGATTAATTCAGCTTAGCACTGCTCCCAGAAGGTCTTGTCTGAAATAGAGGCGACATGACATGCTGGTCTGAAAATTGTAGAGTTTGTCTCCTTGGGTGCTGGAAAACCCAGGGACCATCAGATGAATTCTTAAGCTCTACTGTTATCCCAGAGAGTGAAGGACGAGGCATATTCCCATCACCTCACCCAGTGACAGAGCATGGATAAACCCAGGTGTTCTATTGCACCAGTTGGGGATCATTGTCCGCCTTCAGAGATCAGAGGTAGGTAGAGAGGGGATTGGATCCTGAAAAAAAAAAAAAAAAAAAAAAAAAAAAAAAAGGTATTTCTTGAAAATCTGTTTCTCCTTGACCCTCTCCAGATCCGGTGGGATGCCAGGAAAGAGGGGAGACGAAGGGCTACCACAGACTCCTTTATACCATCCTCGAGGCTGATCTGACTACGAGCCTCAGACCTCTCCAGATGGCTAGGAGTGTTTCCACTATGGTGGTTCCTGAAGCAGAGGACGTGCTGTCCCTCCCAGAGCCCGCCCCGCCCGCGCGATGCCCGGTAGTAACCCCGAGGAGCGAGGCGCTCAGCAGCCCAGCTGCCTTCAACCAGCGCTCTCCTGGTTAGCAACCTAGTTGTTAGATCCGGCTCCTCCCTTTAAGTTTGCGCCCACGTGGCTTCTCGCCCGAGTGTGCTCCTCTGCCTCTGGAGTCAGCCTTGCTCTTTGGGGGACAGTGAGCGGGGAGTGGGGGGTGGCGGCGGGGGGAGGGGGATGGAGAGAGATCCTCTGCCTCTGGAGTCAGCCTTGCTCTTTGGGGGACAGTGAGCGGGGAGTGGGGGGTGGAGGCGGGGGGAGGGGGATAGAGAGTGTGAGAGAGAGAGAGAGAGAGAGAGAGAGAGAGAGAGAGAGAGAGAGAGAGAGAGAGAGAGGCAGCCGGAAGGCCAGCGCGAGGGATGGTAAGTTTGCGGGATGACGGTGGCAGGTGATGACTTGTGTAGAAGGGGGGTTCCCAGATTGCCCCACCAGGCCTGTGATCATGCCCAGACAGAAATCAGAACACGCCCATAAAGCCCACAGCCTTCGTTTCAGAGAGGCAAAGAAACCACCAGGAAATAATAAAAATAAAAGGCTCCAGCCGCCTAGCTGCAGCCCGCAGCCGGCTCTGCGCAGGCGCGCGGGATGCCGCGTCTGACCTGGAGTTACCCCGCTAGGCAGTCCCAGCCGAACTAGGTGAAAGGTAACTATCAGGCGCAGCTGGGGCAACAGCACAAGCTCGCCTCCGAAGGGCCTTTCCAGACTCAGCAAGTTTCTCTAAGCAAGCACTTCCTTCTGTGGACGTTGCCTGGGATAATGTAAGAATGCCCAAATGGAGACTTGGAGAACTCTTGTCACCTGGCTCTCTGTAAAGCAAATGAGGACCAGGAATTGTGCAGGGGTAGGAAAAACCAGGTGTGGAATAAATACTATTTATGTGTCTACCATGGTGTGAAGAGTATCACGTTTTCAATTTAGAGAGCCCTTGGAGAGAGATAACGTGACCTCTTATTTATGAATTAGAAAATCGAGGCCCAAAAAAGTTCTAGTAACCCAAGGGAAGGGTAGGACTAAGGTCCGTTAATGGCCCCTGATTGAGTATTTTGAGTATTGGCACATGCAGTGTGTTTTGCAAGGCTTCCTTTTAGACACTACTCCATCTGTTCTGAGGTCGCTACCTGCTGCCTTTTGGGTTCTTCGTTCACTGAGGGCAGACACCGCTCACCGTTGTTCAGTTTGCTCTATGCCGGAGTGAGCTCATAAATGAACACCCCAGGCTGCTTGAGAGAAGCCGCAACTGTGTCTGGCAGGCTGAAATGACTGCGTGTTCGTGACTTTTCCCCAAAGCTTTGACATTCACTGAGCAGACGCCACTAGCGTCCAGTCTGGGATGTGTCTGGATGACAACAGGTGGATAGCATTGAAGGAGGAGAATGCCTTGCTTCTCCTGGAAATTCTGCACCGAGTCTGGCCTAGTCTGCTAGGACTGCTGTGTTACCTATGGTTTCTCATTGATCTCGAGCCTGGAAATCCAAGATCAAAGTACTGGCTGGCCCTCAAGCTGACATCTCTCTCGCTGTACGCTCACAGAGCAAAGAGAGGGAGAGAGAGAGAGAGGAGAAGGAAGGGGAAGAAGGCTCTGCCAGTGTCCTGTAAGTTTAGAGCAGCTGGAGACATCTGGAAGCTGGCCCATCTCAGGCTTGGCCGCAGCCATTACCGAAGCCAAGGAGGGGAAGACAGGAACCCTGTCCCACTTTTCTTCTGTCTACTCCTTGTAGGCAGTTCCCCAGAACTGCAAAGAGCAGGAGAAGCAGGTGCCTTCAGCTGAAGGAGGCTTGGAGGCGGAGGAGAAGTGGGCCAGCCTCCTCCCACACTCATCTCTCTCCAAGAATCTGTTCCCTTGAGTGTCTCGTCAGGGAATTGGAATGTCCCTGCCTCGTGGCCCCAACACTGTTGCTGCTCAGGCTGATTAAGACAAAGGCTGTAATTGGGCTCCCCTTGCCCGAGAGTAACCCTGTCTCCAAGCCTCGCTGAGGTGACCAGGGGTGAAGAGGAGGCTGTCAGATGCCTCTGTTGCCATTGGCAAGAAGAGAGCTGCTTGGAGATTTGTATCATTGCCCTGTTGAGTGTCTCACATGCTGAGAGCTTTGAACATACTAGGCCCTGAGCCGGACAGTTGTCATGGAATTCTCCTGTGACCCGCTAGCGTCTTATATCACTGGTTTTGGGGGGACAAAACTGAGGCTCTGAGACAGTAATTCCCGATGTCATACAACCAGTGAAAAGCGTGGCTGAGACTCCGTTCCTCGCCCAGCTCTGCATCTTTAAATCTAACACACACTGGGGATTTGGAGAGCTGGTTAGGAAAACTATCCCTTGGTTTTTCCCCTTTTTGTATCACGGGACATTTTTAGTGAAAAAGTAAAGCAAGTGATGTCGTAAGCCTTCCAGATAGTTAAGCACTCAGTGAGGTTGTACAGGAAGCAGACAGAAGACGGAGAGAGTGAATTCTCTACTGCAACTGTGCTGGGCACATAATGTATTCACGGAGAATATTTCCCAAGTGATTGACTAAGGGGAGAGGAATTTATCAAAGTAGGAGTGGAAGAATTTCAGTGTGAGATACAAATGTTTTAGGAAAACAATCTTGTAGTCTTTTTTTTGTTTGTTTGTTTTTTTGTTTTGTTTTTCGAGACAGGGTTTCTCTGTGGCTTTGGAGCCTGTCCTGGCACTAGCTCTTGTAGACCAGGCTGGTCTCGAACTCACAGAGATCTGCCTGCCTCTGCCTCCCGAGTGCTGGGATTAAAGGCGTGTGCCACCAATGCCCGGCTTAATCGTATAGTCTTGAGCTCACAAAGTTTAAGGTGTCTTTGAACTACTGACGAAAGGTTTTCTTCCCCCTAGAAGATTGTTCGTAAAGATACCCAAAGTGGATGCCGCAAAGCTCTCGTCAACATCGCCTTCTGGTTCAGTTGCTCTCTTATGTGTGATTTGTGCTGCTGGCTTCTCTTTGGGAAAGGCCTTTCCTTGCATTCATTAAGAGGGGAGGGGGAAGAGTTTCGGGTATGCCAAGGCTGGCCTTGAACTCCTCATCCTCCTGTTTCCACCTCCTAAGAACTTTAGTTTCCAGCCCGTGCCACCATACCCAGCTAAAAGCTAATGCTCTCTCTGGGGTTTTAGAAAAGGCCTTTGTCCCGAAGAGGAGAAAACTCGAGATCTGGAGTCAAAGGTTAGAGGCTGGGTCTCTGTTCTTAGAGATCATCTCTCCGCACACAACTGGATCTCAGCAATCCTGCTTTCTCATATATAAAAAGGTAAAGACGTTACTTAGGAAGGGTAGTTTTAAGGACAACAAGCCATGTTAATAATAGGTGACATAAAATGGAGAAAAAAGAATTGATAGGTACGGAACACTTTTAATTTCAGTTAATTCTAAGAGACAGTGAGGAGTGTTGTCTTATCAGGGCAGCAAGCCTAGCCCTCTCTGGGTGAGAGGGAACGGATGGTTGTATACTTAGACTTCAGGAGAAGTGGCAGGGAGGCTTTTCAGGCAGATAGTAGATAGTGCAGGGAGGTGCCCCTGCCTGGAAACAGTATAAAAACTCTACCCGCATCTCTTGAGTCTTGGGTCTGAGCTACTGGCGCGTCTGCCTTTCCCATACTGAGATGTAATGTGCCGTATGACTCTGGTGACCACGGGAGGAAGAAAGGTCTCTGAGCAGCCGAATGCAGCAGGGCTCTGCTGTCCGGTTGTGTTCACTGGGACCCTCCTAGCAGAGGCTGGTAGGCTTACAACACTCTGCACTTAACTAAGTGTGCCTTAGAGGCCAGCGCCTGAGTTTCAGAGTGGGCCCGATACAAATAGAGAAGACCCCAGCAGAGGGAACTTTATGCTTCAGTGTAGAGAAACCTAACACCCTGGGGATCGAGAAATCCCCTGAAGAGATTCAAAAGCTGGGGTGTAGCTCGCTTGGTAGAGTACTTGCCTGGCATGGGTGAAGCCATAGCTCTGGTCCCCAGCACTGCATAAGCCAGGCGTGGTGGCACATTTTTATAATACCAGCACTCTGGAGGTGCCGTCAGGAGGACCAGAAAGTGGTACACCGTAGGAAGTTTGAAGCCAGCATCTGCTAGTGATGTTTTCTCAAAAAGTGACAGGGAGGGAGGGAGGGAGGGAGGGAGAGACAGAGACAGAGACAGAGACAGAGACAGAGACAGAGACAGAGACAGAGACAGAGACAGAGACAGAGGAAGAGGGGCAAAGTCAAGTGAGCACACCTGAATTTCCTGGAGCTAAAGAAACAACCACAGGTTTAGCAAACAAACAGAGTGGGATCCCTCTTTGACCAAACCAAACACTTCCTTTCTTTACCCAGACACTTGGGAGAAGGGTAAAAAACAATAGGAGTCTCTCTGGGTCATCTTAAAGGAAAGTGAAGAGTAAGTAGGGCCTTGTTTACCAGCTGTGTGGGCGTGGCTAATCCCCTCCGGGTGTTAGAAAAGCAAGGGCTTTTAACCTTCACCACAGCGGGGGTTTTTTGTTTTTTTTTTTTTGTGGGGACTGAACAGGATGAAGGTAAATATACCAGTATAACTCCAGAGAAATGGCAGCTTCTTCCTCTTTCCCAACAGAGTCATTGCCAAGTCAGAGGGCAATGTTCTACTGGGGCTGGTTCATCCGTTCCCAGCTAGCCTCGTGGCCTGTTAGAAAAGGATAACCCTACATAAGAAGACCTTCAGGCCTCCTTCTAGACTTGGAAATGTCTTGCTTTCTCCCTTCTCATCCACAGAAAGACTTGTACAAGCATTAGCCCCTTGGGAAAAATGAACTCCGTTAATTAAGCCTAACCTCATTCTGTCTGAAGGCTGTATTTTTACCCTCCCACGCCACTGCTCTGCCTTGAGACTTGCCCTGGTCCCAAGAGACTTGCTTATAGGAGCTCAACCTCCTGGGGGTAAAGATGCAGAAGGACAGAGCTCTTAAAACCTGCCCAGGGAGGAAGACTCTGGTCCCCAGGAAGGTTGTCTTAAATAATTAGTGTGAGCTCAGAAGCCTCTTTGCGCCTGGTGATAATGGCAAGGACAATACCACTGAGGAAAGCTAGGCCTCCGAGGCACTTCCCCATCTAAAATGCAGACACGTGTCAAGGAAGCCTGGAGTCTTACCAGACTGCCTTCCGTCTCTCTTCCTTCTCATTCCAATACATCCTACTGTATGGTGTGTGGGAAAATTTAATTCCCAGAGAACTATTCTCTTTTGCAGAGCTAATTGCCCCTGGGAAACTTGGTTGGGGTTTTGAAAAAGGAAACAATAAGTCTGTTCCCAAATTGAGCCCATCTTAGTAGTTTGATGTTCCGCTGGGAGACACGGGAGAGAGTGTGGTAAGAGGTCAACCATGTCATATCTGTCAGCCGAGAAATTTGGGATCTGTAGTTCATCCTTTGGCTGTCTTTGAATTATCCCCTTAGCCATGTTACCAGACCCTGAAAGGGAAGGCTTTTTAAAACCAGAAACCAACATTTCAAGAAACTTCCAGTAAGACCTACAAAACACTGATTTGTATTAAAATTTCAGCACAAGGGTTCACAAACTCCCAATAGCAAACCAGACTGGGGAAACTGTGTACTTGACATCAGTCTTCAGTTCTGTGCCAGTAGGTAAGCTTTTATTAGGCAGCATGTAGACAGAGACTGTGCTTTTGTTTCCCGGCTGCCCAGACCCAAATAATCACACAGAAACTATATTAATTACAACATTGTTTGGCCAATGGCTCGAGTGTATTTCTAGCTAGCTCCTCCATCTTAAATTAACCCATTT